CCGGCGCAGGTCCCAGCCCCGTGTCCTTATCTGCACCCACCTGGAGAGGGGGGCACACAGTCAGTGCGGCGGGCGCACGCTGGGGCTGCGGGGAGGGGCTCCCGGATGCCGAGCCCCCACCCTGGGGCCCCGGTCCTCGAGAGATGGCTGGCCCTTCCATTAGCAGCGAGGCTCCGAGGCCCAAACTGGTGGCCACCTCGCCCAGCCACCGGGGACCCAGCACGCCGAGCTGCGCAGCGGCGGAGCTCAGACCCCGCACGACCCTGGAAGGGTCCCCCTCCCTAGCTCCCTCGGAGGCGCAGTGCTGCTCAGCGCAGCCAGGGCACTGACCGGGCCCGGCGTGTAAGGGAGCCTCTCTTCCCGCCGCCCGGTAAGCAGAGCCTGAGCTGTACTTGGAAAGCTCGCTCCCCGCCCTCTCTCGACAGCCAGCCCGGGCGCACACAGCAGGCGCAGCCCTGATGCCCGCCGTGCTCACGTGCGTTCGCGCTGACTCATGGGGTAGCTTGCCTGCCTCCGGGTGAGGCTCTGTCCTGGGGCTGCGCCCCCCTTCCCCCCCCCGCTGCCAACCCCGGAGCACCTTGGTTTTCAGGAGGCGTCCTTGTTGCTGAGCTGGCTTCTCCCAGGATGGCAGGGCTTGGTGGCCGGGCCGAGGGGCTGCCCTGGGGACGGGGCCTGGGGCTCGGGGCAGGGGAGGCAGGGAGGCCGAAGGGGCCCCTTTGTTTCCTGGGGCACCTGCCTCCCTGCTTCCCGGCCGCGGGTGTATTTAATAGCTGTGTGTTTGCTGAGGCCCAGACTTCTTATTAGATTGAAAAAATTAAATCCTGCACAATAATCTTATTTAATTTCATTTATCATTTATCTCGCCTCTCCTTCCCTTGCTGGTGGTGACCCCACAGAAGTTAGACGCTACATCGTTCCACCTCAGGAGGCTCCTCAGGATCTGCGGGGGGGGGTGCCCCTGACAAGGACCCCCAGACCTTGGAGCCGTGTCTGAATGGGGTCCTGGGTAGGAGGAACCCCCTGCTTGGACTGCCCATCCTCTGGTCCTCTGGCCCCAAAGAGAAGTCCTCGGTGCGTTCCCGGTGCCTGTAGGGTCCCCTGCTCCCCCGGCTGCACCTGGAGCCCCGCGTGGCCACCCTTGGCCCGGCCACACCCGAGGACCTGTGGCCCGTTTGCGTCCTGCCCGGGCCCGCTAACCCGGGGGCCCGCACCCCACAGCCAGTCCCTCGGTATCTGTGGGGGTGCCTGTCTGCAGCTCTTGGGCAGGTACCCCACGCCCTTCACACTGGGCCCCTCCCTGTGCACCTGCTCCCCGCCCGTGACCCTGGGCCCCAGATCCCGGCTCCCCCCGAGAGAGGGTCTGCAGAGAAGAGCCCCGCTTCACTACCCATGTTTTCTCATCCTGGGGGGAGGTCTCGGAGTCTGTGTGGGGTGGGGGCCCCCGAGGCTGGCACAGCTGGACTCTGGCTTTGGGGTATCCCAAAGTGGGTTCCGTTCTGAAGGGTGTAATGAGGGGGCCGGGTTCTGCGGGGCAGTGGCTTTGAGGATGGCCAGAGTGAGCTAAGTCAGAAATTTCTGCGGCTACTCCTGGCTCTCAGTGGCATGGCGACTCTTGCTGTGGGGGGGAAACTGAGGCACTAAAGGGGGGAAAGGTGGTCTTTGGTGGGGCTGGTGCCCGCTGCCCTCTGCCCCCTCAGGTCCCGGGCCCCTCCTCTCTGGCCCCCTGCACAAGGGTCGGCCCTTGACTTCCCTGCTTTGACAGCTCTGGGCACGTAAACCAAGCCTTTATTTTATTCTTTTCTCCTAAAGCTCAGCTTTGTTCTTGTCCCGGCCAAGGCTTCTAAGAAAGCAATCTAAACCCAGCTCTTGGAGGGCTGTCCTGGGCTGGGCTGTGGGACGGCAGCCTCGCCCGTGCAGGTGGCCTGAGGACACGCATCCCCGGGGACCCAGACGGCCTCATCACCTTCCAGGGGAATAATGGTCCCCTCTCAGAGCCGGCGGCCTGGCCCCCAGCCCTGGGGCACAGGTGTGAGATGGGCCAGGCGGGGGCTGATGGAGACGCCCACATGGACCACCGCCTCCTGGCTGGGTCACCGCAGGTAGCAGTCCCCAGGATGCAGTTTGCTGAGGCACGGCGTGCGCCCCGCTTCAGCCGTAGGCTTCATTAGTACCGTCCGCCTCGGCCCTGTAGTGGCCGTGAAAGGGTACACCTGACCCCCAGGGGACAGGTGAGCATCCCAGTTGCGGTGCCATTTGCTCGAGGCTGCAGGACATGGGAACGGAGCGTCTGGGGCTGGGCCTGGCATCTGGGGGCATTGCCTGGAGGGACCCGGGATCCCAGCCCTGCTGACCAGTCAGGACTGCTGCTTGAAGGGACAGGCTCCGACGGCCTCATGCTGTCCCTGCTCTCAGTTTGGGGCTTGCCCAGCCCCAGGCCCTTGGGACCCTCTGGGCTCTGGCACACGGTGTACCTTTGTTGGCCTCTGTCCACCGCAGCCGGGCTCAGGGGACCCTGCCTTGCTCTCCTGGACGCTCCTGGCACCGGGTGCTGTGGTCCTGCGAAGGGGCCGTTTGGAGGGCCCCTCTCCTGTGCCCAGCGTTTGGTTAAATGTCCACCAGGCAGTGGGCAGACCCACCCTGACCTTGCTCAGCTCAAGAGGTACTTGGCAGGCTTCTCTGAGGAGGTGACCATGAGGCAGAGACCTGAGCTCACAGGTCTGTTCCAGGCAGGGCGCGGGCGCAGCACAGCTGGCGGGGAAGGGGATTGTTCGTGCAGGCTGCGTGTGCTCGGCCCCTGGGGCCCGAGACCAGCACCAGTAGGGCAGGGTCCCCCCCCATCATGGGTTCCGCCATTGTATGGCCTCTCGGTGGCCATCTCTGCCTGTGCCCTGGTCTCCCTCCTTTTGTGTTTGGGTGGCACGTGGGGGGCTGTGCCCCCAGCCCCCTCATCTTGGGGCCAGTGGGCTTCTCCCAGGCCCCGACACAGGGGTGCTGCTGAGACAGCACGGCCCAGTCGGGGGCCTGACATGGCATCTGGCAGGGGCGGCCCGAGGTCTGTCCTTCTGGGTCTGGATAAAAGCAGGGTGGCCAGGCTCCCCGCTGCCCCTGGGCTTGTGCAGACACAGGCGTCGGTCTGCGTGGACGCCCAGGGCAGCAGAGGAGCGGCGGTCCCCCAGCAGCTTTCCCAGGGCAGGGCCAGGCCGCGCGGGGCACGTGGCTGTCGTCCCGGAGCCTGTCTGCTGCTGGCCAGGCCCCCCACCCCCTGGACTTACTGCTTCGATGCCCTCCAGGCAGAGTGCGAGGGCCCAAGGTCTGGACTCGCTCCATCGCTGGGGGGACAAGGGCCCGGCCCCCTGTCAGAGCAGCGAGGGGGGACCATTTCTGCAAATGCTCCAAGCTCGGTGCTCATGCGGCTGCCCACGGAGGGGACCCTGCCGCCGCCGGGCGGCCTCCCAGCACCTGCGTTTCTTCCTGCGCCCGGGCCTTCCGCAGCGTTCTGTCTGCTCTGGGAGGCTGAGCCGCCGCTTGTGAGCGCGGACGCGCCAGATGGCCCTTTCTCTCCCTCCGGACGCCGCCGCTGCCGCGGAAGGGGCGGTGGGAGGGCTGCTGCCTGTCCCCCAGCCCCTCCCGCTCCGGCCACCAGGGTTAGGCTCTCGGTGGTGGCAGCTGTGCCGGGCGCTGCCAGGACAGGCCTTGGCCGTCCCCAGTCTCCACTGGCTTCCTTTTTGCAGGCCACGTATGTTCTTCCCAGGGCCGCAGTCAGGGGCGAGAGGGGAAACTGAGGCTGGGCGGGCCGGTGGTTTGCCACAGGTGGGGGCGTGCGCCTGGAGCAGGACAGGCCGCGTGCAGGCCCAGGGGAGGAGCCCGGCCTCCACACGGCCACCCTGGGTTGGTGGCTTTGCTGTCCCCAGGGTCTGGCCCAGCTGCACTCAGAGTTGCTCTTCTTGAAAAGACCCGCGTGGGGGTTTGGGGGACAGGGTGACTTCCGTGGGTGAGTGGGTGGGGTGTGGGGCTGCATTAGTGGGCCCTGCTGCTCCGGGACGCCAGGGAGAAGTGGGGAGGCGGACGTGGAGCCCTGGGGGGCGCTGGGCCTCAGCCTTGCCCCCCACCTGCCTCTGGGGTCTTCTCCCACCTGTGCTTTCCTTTCTGCCTCCTGTTCCCATCACCTGCCCCTCTTCCCTGCTGGGCTCCCCACCCTCACCCTCTGCCCTGCCTGCCCTGCCCCCCGCCCCCCTTCCTCACCTCCCTGCCCTCTACACCCCCCCCCCGTGCACCCACCCCTCGCTCTCCGGCCCCTCCCCCTGTGTCTTTATCCCCCCTTCCCCTGCCCCCTCATCCCCCGTCCCCCTGTGCCCTGATGGCGCTACACCTTTGTGCCCCCAGCCCCCCCGCCGGCCCCCACCCGCCCGGCGGAGTTGGGTGGCTGTGCCAGCCCTGCAGACTGTTTGGAATAGTTGAGATGCTTTGACACTCGGGCTGTGCTGGATGGCAGGGCGGCAGTTACTGGGTAATTCACATGCAGAGCCGCACCATAAATCTCGGCGCTCAGTTGCCGTGGCACCACGGAGCGTTTCTCCGCGTACAGTACAGTATTTCTGCCATCTTTGTTTGCATTGCGGTGAGTCATCAAAGTCTGTCTTGTACCAACACCCGGAGCCGTGCATTCCTCTGGCACCAACACTCCACTGTTGTTAAAGCCGGGACTGGAGCTGGCATTTACTTGGGCTCCCAAGTCAAAGGCGGCTATTCATTCCCGAGAGCTGCCTGGATGTCCGTCTGCATCCGGCCTCTTCATTTAGATGCTGTGCGCTGCCCCGGAGAGCCGGGCTGGGTCCAGCTGAGCTGCGGCCGCCGAGCCCGAGCCCGGCGCGGAGACTCTCTGCCCCGCCGCCGCCGCCGCCGCTCCTCCTCCCCCTCCCCCTCCCCCTCCCCCTGCTCTCCCGGCTCCTCGCGCCCTCCCCGCCCCAAGGGCTCCCGCTCCGTTTGCTGCATTCCCGGAGCAGCTGGCGAGCCTGCCCCTGCCAGGCGGAGCAGGCGGTGCCGGGCCACCGGCCGCAGCCGCCAAAGGTAGGTCCCCCCCGCGGGCCGGTGTCTCGGCCGACCGGCAACTTCTCCGCAGCGGGGGCACTGCGGGCCCTCCCCCAGCGGCCACCCATCTGCCCAACTCCTGTCGCCGGGGTCCGGGCGCTCCGCCCTCCCTCCGCCCTCCCTCCTCCGCCGCCCGGCGCCTCTGCGGCCGCCTGCACTTTCCTCCCTCGGGACAGAGCGGCCCTTTGTGCGGGTGCTGCCGTGCAGAGTTGGGCCGGCGCCTTCTCCACCCGTCCGTCCCCGGCTTCTCTGAGTCAGGCGTCAGACCTACCTCGCCCGGAGCCCTGTCCCCAGCCCCCGGGGTGCCCGAGCCCTTGCGGGGGGCCCCCCCCACTCCGCCTGACCCCTTTAGTCACCTGGGCTGGGACTGAGCCAGCAGGGATTGGCCAGCACGGGGAGCTGGGGGACCAGGAGGGCGGGCAGGTGGGGTTGCGACAGGCTCCCGACCGCTGGGCCAGGGCCAGCCGGGAGGGACTGCGCTGGCGCCTGGGGAGCCGGCCACCGACTTCTGGCTTCAGCTCACTCCCCTGGGCGCCCCCACCCCCTGCCCGCCTCCGCGGGGGGGCGAGGGCCAGCGTCTCAGCCAGCGGGGTGGGACTCCCCTCTGGTGGGCCCTGTGTGTGGCTGCTCTGAGGGAAAAGAGGAAAAACAAACCAGAACGCAGAAGCCTCCGAAAGACCCCTGCAAGACCCCTGCTCTGGGTTCCGACCCCTCCGAGGGGCAGGGCTGTGAGGGACTCCTTTGCTGCTAACTTTTTCTTGGGGAGAAGAGTTTGCAGACGCAGCCCGCCGCCCTCACCCCTCCTGGCTGCCGCGGGTGGCCGTGCCCTGCTCTGTGCTCTGTCCTCCATCCACCCCATCCTGGAGTGCAGGCCTCCGTTTGCATTCCTGGCTTCTGCTGAGACGGGGCGTCAGGGGGCTGAGGTCTCGGGCGATCCTGGGGGTGGGCTCTGGGAGCCACGCAAGGTGCGGGGCGGGGGGCGTCCCCGGGCTCTGAGTCCCACGCAGGGCTGCTGTAGGCCCAGCCAGGGTCCTGCTGCGAGGAGCTCGGCCCCCAGGACCTCCCCGCTTCACTCTGCTGGGGGGGCCGGGGAGGGACCGTGGTGGGGGGGGCCATGGGTGTGCTCCAGCGAGTGTGTTTCCCTACCCTCGGCGGGTGGGCCCTGGCCGTCCAGGGAGCCTGAGCCCGTGTCCCCACGCCCTCTCTCCCGCAGATGTGCCCCGCTCGGGCGCTCCCGCGCTGAGTGTGAGGCGAGCCCTCCATCGCCTGCCCGCCATGTCTCAGCTGCTGCACATTGAGATCCCCAACTTCGGGAGCACGGTGCTCGGCTGCCTCAACGAGCAGCGGCTGCTGGGCCTCTACTGTGATGTGTCCATCGTGGTCAAGGGCCAGGCTTTCAAGGCCCACCGCGCCGTCCTGGCCGCCAGTAGCCTGTACTTCCGCGACCTGTTCAGCGGCAACAGCAAGAGCGCCTTCGAGCTGCCGGGCACCGTGCCACCCGCCTGCTTCCAGCAGATTCTGTCCTTCTGCTACACGGGCAGGCTGACCATGGCGGCCAGCGAGCAGCTCGTGGTCATGTACACGGCCGGCTTCCTGCAGATCCAGCACATCGTGGAGCGCGGCACAGACCTCATGTTCAAGGTGAGCTCGCCCCACTGCGACTCGCAGACCGCCATGATCGAGGACGCCAGCTCCGAGCCCCAGAGCCCCTGCAACCAGCTGCAGCCGGCCGCCCCCGCAGCCCCCCCCTACGTCGTGTCCCCCTCCGTGCCCATCCCGCTGCTGACCCGCGTGAAGCACGAAGCCATGGAGCTGCCGCCGGCCACCGGCCCGGGCCTGGCCCCCAAGCGCCCGCTGGAGACGGGGCCCCGGGATGGCGCCGCCGCCGCGGCGGGCACGGCCCCTCTCAAGCTGCCCCGGGTCTCCTACTACGGGGTGCCCAGCCTGGCCACCCTCCTCCCCAGCATCCAGCAGGTGCCCTACTCCCAGGGGGAGCGGACCAGTCCGGGCGCCAGCAGCCTGCCCGCCACCGACAGCCCCACCTCCTACCACAACGAGGAGGACGAGGAGGACGACGAGGCGTATGACACGGCGGCCGAGGAGCAGTACGGCCACGCGTACGCCAAGGCCGCCGGCAGCTACGCAGGTAACCGGCCCGGCCGCTGCCGCCCGCCCGCGGGTGCTGGGGTCCGCCAGGCCCCGTGAGGGTACAGGGGCAAGCCTGCCCCCGCCCCGGGGCCCTCGCTGCCTGGCTGTGACTGCCCAGGGAGGCTGCCGCGCGAAGGGGGCGGTGCCCGACCCGGGCCGGATGGGCTGGGGGGCACGGCCTAGCTCAGCCTCTCGTGGCCTTAGCCACGGACTTGACAGCCGGTGCCACACACGAAAGCTGAGGGACCGCCCGCGGGAAGTTGCTGTCCAGCACGTGGGATGGGGCTCGGGCTTCCACGGGTCAGGCGCAGAGACTGACGGCCTCAGCGGACCAGGGACCTGGTCCAGGGCTCACAGGGTGCTGTGCAAGCCGCCGGCTCAAGGACTGAGCGGCCCTGTCTGCAAAGTGCCAGGCGCGGTCGGAGGCCCCAGCAGGCTCATCTGCTTTACCTTTGACCCCAGGCCCACCTGTGTGGTCTCACCTGCCCTGTGACGCTCAGTGAGGCCGGAGACTCCCCCTGTAATGCATCTCATTTGCCACCACCTCTCTGGGGCCAGCAGCACGGGACAGGCCAGAAAGTGCTTGTTGAACTGAGTGAGCTGTGCCCCCCAAGTTACTTGGGGGGTTCTCCCCCACTGGGGACCCACACGCCTGAGGAGCCCTAACCCAGCATGCTGTTCCAGACCGTATCGCACCCCTGGGGACCGGGGTTTGCTGGGCTGAGGGTCTGGTAGTTGGGGCTCTGGGTTGGGTGTCCACCTGCCTTCCATGTTCCCCGAAACCTGGCCGTGTGCCTGGGCTCGCTGCCTGCTCATTTGCATGCAGGGCCCATGGTACCAGCGGGAAGTGACAACCCAGAACTGGGGCCCCGCGGGAGTACGTGGTGACTCTTTCCTCCCCTATGTCCCCATATCCCGGTCCCTGACGGGGCAGATGCTCTCCCCCCTCCATACTCCCCCCTCCACCTCTAGGCAGGGACTTGTTGATCACTGCTGGGATGGGGGCGGGGGGGGCCCCGGCCAGCTGGGGCCCTTGCCACGGCCGCTCCCCCGGAGCAGCGGAGGACTGGACAGTCTGGCCAAGCCGGCTCCCTCTCAGCGCTGTGGGGAGCAGAGAGGCGCCGCTGTGGGCGCCCGCCTGCCCCCTGCAGGGGCTGTGGGTGGATGGTTGTTCCCTAGAAGTCATTGCTTTATTGAAACGCATGTTGTTACGTTTGCATGAATCCCACAGGACACTAGCGTGAAGACCGACTTGATCTGGAAACCTGCAAGCTCGGCTCGGGCCTTCCGAGGGCCGCTGGGCTCGGGCCTTAGGGGGTCCCTCTGGGAACCTGCCCGGCGTGGCGTGCCCTCTGCCCACTGCCGACAGCCACACAGGGGGCCATGGGAGGGCCGTGTGGAGCCCCAGACCCAGCCGCAGGGAGCTGGAATCTGCCAAGGGCCCCGGGGCGGGGACTGTGCTCTAGAGGCCCGCAGGGCTGCGCCACGGAGCAGGAGATGGCCCAGCCTCCAAACGTCTCCATCCAACGTGGCCACTGGCCTTGGCCTGGGCAGGTCTGGGTAGGAAGAAACAGGACAAGGCATTGGCGTCTCCGGGCGCGTACGGTGCTGGAGCCTGTCTGAGCTGCCTTCCGGCCAGGGGCACAGGCCTGACCCGGGGCAGTGTGTGCCCACAGGCATCACCCGTGCCTTGGGTGACAGGAGGGCATCTCGCAGCCATCGGAGCCCCTTGCCCCAGCTCCCTGGGGGGTGCTGGCAGCAGGATGCAGTGGTGGGACGTGGGGAAACGGGGAGGGACGGTGGGGAGGGGCGGGCAGGGCGTGGGAGCAGCCCTGCCTCCCGTTGGCCCAGGGCACTACAGTCTGGGTTTTCTCCTCAGTGAGACCATAAGTGGGGCAGGGAGGGGGGGGTGTGACTTCTTGGTTAAAATCTAGGTTATTGGCAGTGACGTCGCAGGCATCACCGGGCGCGGGTGAGCTGGGAAGACGGTTGTGGGGGAGGGGGCAGTGGGGGCAAGCAGGCAGAGACGAGGGCCCTGTCCCCCAAGGCCGGCTGCCCCTCGGGTGTGGGCTGCCCGTGCCCCGGGCTTCCTCTTCGCACTGGCTTGGCCTGGTTGGGGGACATCCTTGCAGCCCCTCGGGCAGCCCAGCAGCCTGCTGCCCCCAGTCTGGGGCCCGGACAGGGGTGGGGCAGGGCGGTCTAGGAGCTGGTGGATGGGGATGTTCCAAAGTGCATGCTTGCCCCATGAGGGCACTTGGGAGCCCCTTCTTCTTCCTGGCCTCAGTTTCCCCACCTGTCAAGGTAGAGGTTGGCCTGAGTGACCCCCAGGGTCTTTTGACTGGCAGCCTCTGTATAGGGAAGTGTGGGACGCTACGTGGGTGACCCCATGTCCATCCTCCACCTTGAGAAGACCCATCAGCTCCTGTTTGGAACGTCCAGGAATTCAGTATGGCGGAGGGAGAGCGCGGACTCTGACCGTCCCCCAGCAGCCCCGCTGTGCTTCCGCGGGCCTCTGTCGCACGCATCTCCTGCCTGCCTTCCAAGTCCTGCGTTCTCGTCCGTGGGGCGGACACACCGCAGCTGACTTCCTAGTCCCTGTGGACACCACGGTTGTTTCCGATTTGTTGCTCTTAGGACTGAGTGACGCACCAGGCGGGTCCTGATGGGGGTGGGACCCGCCTTGCAGTGAGGCTCCCTCCCCACATGTCAGGGCCAGCTAGGGCCCGCCCACTGGCTAGGGGAGGGTCTCCTCTGGAACTCAGGAAGCCCCTTGCTCCAGCTCTGGAGGGGGGAGGTCTGCATGTCTGCCGCCGTGCTGGGAGCGAGGGGCTGCCCCCGTCAGGGTGGTGGGGTTGGGGGGTGGGTGCTGGTTTCAAGGTGAGCAGGGCACCGGGGGCACCCCAGTGTATTAAGGCGTCTACTCCCGTGGTGTCTACTTGGCCACACTCCTTGGGGACGTCTGTACCCATGGGGAGACAGACAGGCAGCAAGCAGGACCTTGAACAAGTATTTAAGCTTGGCTGGGGTCCCCGGGAGGCAGGACGGGCTGCCCCCTGGTCCAGGGGAGGGAGGCTCGGAGGTGGGGGGTGTGCGCTGCCCAGGGAGGTGGGGGGGGTCCCTCTCCCATCACTGCAGTCTCTGCGGGGGGAGTGTGGGTGGCCGGGAGGGGCCACCTTCGGGGCCACAGCCCCAGGACCAGGGCTCCCGTGGTGCCTTCCGCCGCGGGCCCAGCCCCTCCTCTGTGCGGCCAGATGTTTGATCGTTGCTGGCAGACGCTGCTCCCTGTGGGTGAGACAAAGGGGCTTCTCAGCACTTACACACTAGCCAGGCCCTTCCATGTTAGGGGCCCCGCGGGGCGCCGTGCGGGGATGGGCAGGTGGCTGTGGGCTGGTGGCCCTGCCTGGGCTTGCCCTCTCTTCTCCTCTGGGTCTGCCCACCATCCCAGCACCCGGACACGGGACAGACGCTGGCGGTGCTTGGGATCAGGTCCCGGCACGCGGCAGCACATCTGTTCCCGACTCTGCCCGCCTCGAGCAGACGCTGCAGATGGCTCCCGTGAGCTCTAGAAGGATGGAGAGTGTGTGCGCCCTGCCCCGGACCAGGCCCCGGTCTGTATGGGAGGTCGGTCCACCCAGGCACCAGCACCTACCCCCGCCCCCACCGCCCTGACCGGGACAGCCCCTCGCTTCTAGCCTCGCAGCAGACGTGCAGACCCCCGCCCTGCTGGGGGGCTGCTCCCGCCCGCAGCCCAGCTGCCGCTTGGGGGTCCCGCGGGGAAGGGGGAAGACTAGGTTTGTCCTGTGAATCCCCATCCTAACCACCCCTCACTGCCTCCCGACCTGGGCCCAGGCTGTCCACACTGTTGGAGCCCTGCCCAACCGCCAGGAGGGCCCTGGGAGCCCTGGGTGCTTTTTGTCCCTGGCCCGGTGAGGGTGGGGGCCATGCAGGGGTGGGGGTGGGGGTTCCCTCCCTTTGAAGGCAGCACTCAGGGCAGGTGAGGGAGGTGCAGGCCCCTGTGTGCCTGTCCCACACCCACCCGGGGAGCTGGCGCCAGGCTGTTCTGAGGCTTGGGGACCGGCCTCCCTGGCTCCCCGGTCCTCAGCTTCTCCTGTGTCAGGTGTAGGACTGGGCCCTCTGCAGTGTCACATGTGACCCTCAAACCCCAGGAGACCCTTAGATTCCTTCTTACGCCTTTGTGGCTGAGTATGATGTCAGTGCCTCCCTGAAAGGGTGTGAGATGCACCTGCTTTGAGCTGTGCACCAGAGCATGCTCAGGCGGAGGACACTACCGTCGCCCGCCCGCCCCAGGCAGCCCTGGGCCCGCTCTGTCACTCAGGGTGCGTTTGCCTGTCCCAGAACATCAGGTGGACACAGTTGTGCACTGTGTACGCCCGTCTGCGTCTATCCGCACAATTCGGGGAGACTCCTCTGTGCTCCCGGGTCAGGCCCACCTTGCCCTCCCTTGTTGGGTGATCGTTTCTAGTGTTTGTACACAGTAAAATGTACCGATTCCAAGTGTACAGGCGGTGACTTGGGGTTGTAATCAATCGAGTACCAGGGTCATGATCAATTATCAGATCAGTCTGCCTCCCCTCAAATGTCTCTGGGTCCTCCCGTCCCAGCCCTGGCCCCCCGGCAGCCTCCGCACTGGCTTCCTGTCCCTAACGATTTGCCTTTTGTAGAACCTCTTTAAGTGGCATCATTCAGAATGGAGTCCTTTCTTTTTCCCACTGCCGTACTTCGTGGTCCATCCAAGTGGTGCCAAGTGTTGGTTGTCTTGGTCCCAGGCCGTGGACACGGCCACCTGTGGCCAGCGCTTGGGGGGCGGGGGGTGTTACCACCTGGCTGCCGTGAATGCCCGTCCGCAGGTGGGGCTGCTGCGTCACGGGAGAGGTGCGTGTCTGCGCTGCCACAGTCGCTGGTCTCCTGAGAGTTATTTCTGTCCTGAGTGGTGACACGGGGTTTCGCCTGGATTTGAGGCGTGTGTGGTGCTGCATC